GGGGAGGGGAGGAAAATGAGATGAAAGTGAGTGTTGAAATTTAACTTGCCAGAGCACCATAATACAATGTTTGGAGGAAGCAACTGGTGATGTTGAGCAGTTAGTATCCCACACACCTCCCACTGAGTGCTCTCCTCTCTCACCACCACTACAATCACCACTACATCCACCACCACTACAATCACCACTACATCCACCACTACAATCACCACTACAATCACCACCACTACAATCACCACTACATCCACCACTACAATCACCGCTACATCCACCACTACAATCACCACCACCACAATCACCACCACTACAATCACCACCACCACAATCACCACCACTACAATCACCACTACAATCACCACCACCACAATCACCACTACAACCACCACCACTACAATCACCACCACAATCACCACCACTACATCCACCACTACAATCACCACCACAATCACTATCGCCACAACCAATGACGACTAGCGGTATCACATGCACAGAGAACACTATATAAACATCACTCTTGGCTTTCTTCTCATTACGGACACATCACAGGTCACATGGGGCCTCGCGGGTCAGTGGATAGCGCCTGGGGGGGGGGGGGGGTTGTAGTCCTAATTAACCGGGTTCGATTCCCGGCGGAGGCGGAAACAAATAGTTTCTTTCACCCTGATGCACCTATTCGCCTAGTAGTAAATAGGTACCTGGGAGTTAAGACAGCTACTAAAGGCTGCTTCCTGGGGATGTACTCACCTAATTGTGTTTGCGGGGGTTGAGCTCTGGCTCTTTGGTCCCGCCTCTCAACTGTCAATCAACTGGTGTACAGATTCCTGAGCCTATTGGGCTCTATCATATCTACACTTGAAGCTGTGTATGGAGTCAGCCTCCACCACATCACTGCCTAATGCATTCCATTTGTCTACTACTCTGACACTGAAATCAATCTTTCTAACGTCTCTGTGGCTCATTTGGGTACTCAATTTCCACCGGTGTCCATGCGCGCGCGCGTGTGCGTTAAATATATATAATAGATATAACAGGAAAAATAGACTGGTTAGAAAGGCGAGGTTGACCAGACCACACACTAGAAGGTGAAGGGACGACCACGTTTCGTCCCTTCACCTTCGGAACTTATGAACAAATCCACAAGGGCCGTGACGAGGATTCGAACCTGCGTCCGGGAGCATCCCAGACACTGCCTTAATCGACTGAGGCAGTGTCTGGGATGCTCCCGGACGCAGGTTCGAATCCTCGTCACGGCCCTTGTGGATTTGTACATAAGGAACTTCATTATAAGAAACTGTAGTAGTGGTGGAAGCAGGAACAGTGTAAAACAGGTTTTTTAAGTAAAGAGGAAGGCGAGGCATAGGTGAAGGGAAAGTATAGAAGTGGGAAATACAGTGAGAGGTATGAAAGCAGGCGGGCTGTCCGCCTTGCCGACACGATGTGTGGGTGTTGGCAGCTAAGCTAAGCTGGCTCCCTCTTGTCAGGGAGCTGTGAGTTCTTTGATGCCTGCTTCCTGGGTATCGTCCTCCTGGACTTGTCCCTGCCTGTTATCTTGCCTAGGTTGCTTATCTTATCTAGACTGAGGTTGCTTCCCTTTGCATGCCATAAGAGATATCTTTATGTTCTGCAGAACTAGTTAGGAGCCGGTCGTTCGAGCGGACAGCACGCTGGACTTGTGATCCTGTGGTCCTGGGTTCGATCCCGGGCGCCGGCGAGAAACAATGGGCAGAGTTTCTTTCACCCTGAATGCCCCTGTTACCTAGCAGTAAAATAGGTACCTGGGTGTTAGTCAGCTGTCACGGGCTGCTTCCTGGGGGTGGAGGCCTGGTCGAGGACCGGGCCGCGGGGAAACTAAAGCCCCGAAATCATCTCAAGATAACCTCAAGATAGTTGGCGCTTTCCGCCACTCTCGGCATGCTGTGAGGAGGGAGGAAAAGGAAGGAGGAGGGTGGAAGGAGGAGGAGGGAGAGCTGATGAAGAGGTCTGAGTTGGCAGGGTGGTCAATGCCGACATTAGGAAACCTGGAGAGTTATGGTAATAAACAGAGGAAGGTCAAGGGGCGTGAAGGACGCGCAGCCAACACCGAGCCCTTGTGCACCACCACCTTCCGTAACTCATCAAGTGCAACCAGTCCTCACTAACGTCAAGAGTATCATAAGCAAGGTAGTCAGCACACACTCAAACGTATCATTCAAAGGAGGAGCTCCAGAGCTAAAGCTCAACCCTCAATAATATACAGGTGAGTGCATGAGTGACACACACAAGCCATTAATGGGTTCCCCCCCCCCCCCGAGGATATTTCTCAAACGTGTCCCATTAGGGCATTGAGAGCGGACGATAATGACGAATGGCCCTACAACTGTGCCTTCAAGCTCTGTGTGTTTACTAGTTGTGTTTACTAGTTGTGTTTTTGCGGGGGTTGAGCTTTGCTCTTTCGGCCCGCCTCTCAACTGTCAATCAACTGTTTACTAACTACTTTTTTTTTCCACACCACACACACACACACACACCCCAGGAAGCAGCCCGTGACAGCTGACTAACTCCCAGGTACCTATTTACTGCTAGGTAACAGGGGCACTTAGGGTGAAAGAAACTTTGCCCATTTGTTTCTGCCTCGTGCGGGAATCGAACCCGCGCCACAGAATTACGAGTCCTGCGCGCTATCCACCAGGCTACGAGGCCCCTATGGAGGGGGGTGGGTGGGTGTGTGTGTGTGTGTGTGTGTGTGTGTGTGTGTGTGTGTGTGTGTGTGTGTGTGTGTGTGTGTGTGTGTGTGTGTGTGTGCTAGTCTAGTTGTGCTTGAGGGGGTTGAGCTTTGGCTCTTTGGTCCCGCCTCTCAACCGTCAATATACTGGTGTACAGACTCCGGAGCTTCTCGAGCTCTATCATATCTACATTTGAAACTGTGTATGAAGTTAGCCTCCACCACATCGCTGTCTAATGCATTCCATTTACTAACTACTGTGACACTGAGAAACCATTCCACCACCACCCACGGGATGGGTATGGGGTGCATAATAAAGTATGAAGTTGAGAGTTGTGTGTTAATGTCAGTTATAGTATTTAGAGTGAGTTTGGTTGGTATTCATACAGAAGCTGTTCGGAACTTTTAACTGTCATGTTGTTTATTGGGGCCCTAAACATAGCCTCATACTGGCCTTTTAGAAAATAACATTCATATGCGAGTCACAATAACGTGGCTAAAGTATGTTGACCAGACCACACACTAGAAGGTGAAGGGACGACGACGTTTCGGTCCGTCCTGGACCATTCTCAAGTCGATTCATTCTAAGTCGATATCGACTTGAGAATGGTCCAGGACGGACCGAAACGTCGTCATCCCTTCACCTTCTAGTGTGTGGTCTGGTCAACATTCACATTCATCTTTTCAAGTGAAGAAATCTAAAGATTCAGCCCGCCATCTTTCACTCATTAAGTGCGGAGGGTGTCATTACTGGGCCTGGGGCCAGATTCACCAAAGCCCTTACGCAAACACTTACGAACCTGTACATCTTCTCAATCTTTGGCGGCTTTGTTTCCAATTATTAAACAGTTAATGAGCTCCGAAGCACCAGGAGGCTGTTTATAACAATAACAACAGTTGAATGGGAAGTTTTCATGCTTGTAAACTGTTTAATAAATGTAACCAAAGCCGTCAAAGATTGAGGAAAGATGTACACGTTCGTAAGTGCTTTCGTGAATCTGGCCCCAGAACCCTCTCTTAATAGGACCAATAGGATGTTCGTGGCTGGATTAGCGACGTTTGCCAAGCAGTGCTCTATTTTCATTAGTTGGTCTTAAAACTGCTGAGGATTTGCCTCCGGTGACTTATATACAGGGACAATAGATTTAGGATATCTATTTTGATTATCAGCACTTCCACCATATCATTTGAGGTGTTTAGCAGCTTAGTACAGATGAGTGTGTCTTTGATGTAGAGGTTGACCCCCACCCTGAAGCCCGTGTTTCCTGTCACATCTGAAAAGATTGTACTCTAAGATCCATATTTCACCATCATGGTAGTCCTTTGTGTGGCCATATTTTGATCGATTGCAACTTTCCTCATATCAATGATAAGTGAATAATGCAAGTATAGGAAGATGAGAGACTTGGGATATGAGAGAGAGAGAGGAGAGGAGAGAGGAGGAGAAGAGAGAGGAGAGAAGGAGGGGGGGGGGGCGTCGAGACGCAGGGAGGGGGGGGGGGGGGACGGATGAAAACGCTACAGAGAAAATAACGAACACATCAGACTTGGCCATCGATTGGTCATGGTGGTCGCTCTCTGACTCACTTGCTGCATCCCCAAGCCCTGCAACCCTCCCCCACACCTGGGGGAGGGCAGCCACACTTACCACACCTGAGAGAGGGCAGTTACACTCGCCACACCTGAGGGAGGGCACCCACACTTACCACACCTGAGGGAGGGCAACAACACACCTGGATTATACAACTTACCTGCATTGTATATTATCCAGCTATTATTCTCCAGTATCGGCTAATGATACTGGTAATGGCTCAGAAGGGCCACCACTTCCGGGCTATTCATGCCCGTGCCACCTTTTGGCTGGCTTATTCAGCTATGTGGATGCAGGTGGATGTGACAGTGTGTGGCGGGAGGTCACTATTAGGAACCACCCCGTGTTAGTGCTCTCATTAACACTGTAATCACCATGAGTATGGCAAGAGCGTTTTGTTGGGTTGTTGTGGCTGGCACTGGCAAGAGAGGGAAAGGCCCCCTGGCAGTGTGCCACTTGAGGTTAATCTCGAGATGATTTCGGGGCTTAGTGTCCCCGCGGCCCGGTCCTCGACCAGGCCTCCACCACCAGGAAGCAGCCCGTGACAGCTGATTAACTCCCAGGTACCTATTTTACTGCTAGGTAACAGGGAGTTAGGGGATAGAGGGGAGGGCAAGAGAGCGGAGGGACAAGGGACCGGAGGGGGCAAGGGACCGGAGGGGCAAGAGACCCTCCGGTCAAGGGACCGGAAAACAAGAGGACACTCACCTCGGGTCAGCCACTTGATGACGGAGTCGTTGTCGGCGGACTTGTGGTAAGTCCAGTAGGAGAAGCAGGAGTCGGCGGCGGCGCAGAGGACGGCCAGCTGGCCCAGGTGGTCATGGACCAGGTTGGGCGACTGTTGCTGGTCCTTGGGGCTGTAGAAGGCGCACAGCGACGGCTCCTCCTCCACCAGCGCCCCGCTCTCGCTCATGGCCCCCACACCTGTCAACACACACACACACAGCATTACTCCCTACTCGCCTCACTAACACACCTGCCACATCGGCGTCTCGCAAAAAGGAAGAGGGGAGGGAGGGGGGAGACAGAGAGAGACAGAGAGAAACAGAGAGAGAGAGAGAGAGAGAAACAGAGAGAGAGAGAGAGAGAGAGAGACACAGACAGACAGAGAAGGAAGGGGTAAGATATATGGTAAGCGTACACAAGGTATATGATATAAATACCGAGGTTGTAACAAAGGCATGGAAAGGTTCCAACCAATTCACTCGTGGGGGAGGGGAGGAAGAGAAGAGGGAATAGGAAGAGAAGTTAAGAGCTGTTGAAAGGAAAAGGGAGACTGAAGAGAAGCTAGTTGGGGGGGGAGGGGGACCACCATATAATGACATTATTCGGGGACCATAACTGAAGCGTCGTAAAACACGAATGATAATTCCGGAGATTCACTTGGATTCTACTAAATACTAAATGATTCACTTAAGAATCATTTTCCTAGTTAAAACTATCCACCTAAAATGAGTTTTACTAGGAAAATGACTAAGGGGAATTAGATCTCAATAAATGGATGAATGGAAGCAGTCCCATTAGCCGCGTTCCTTGGGGTATGGAGAAGATTAAGAGTGATACCATCCATGTTGTTTTAGATTTAGCTACTTAGAACAAAAGTTCCAAAGTAGCACGGGCTATGGTGAGCCCGTAGTGGACTTGCCTGGCACTGGAGCGGGGCTGTAACTCCGATACCATCCAGTTGTTATAGATTCAGCTACTCTGAACAAGAACCAAGTAGCACGGGCTATGCTGAGCCCATAACTTACGTGGCACAGGAGTGGGGCAAGTAGCACGGGCTATGGTGAGCCCGTAGTGGACTTACCTGGCACAGGAGCGGTGCTGTAACTCCGATACCATCCAGACTAACACCTCTATTAATAACAACGCCACTTCCCAGAACAGCAGGATTACAAAAGGGACACATGACCATAATTCCGTAGAAGAGATTACAGCAGGTACATTGTCAGTCAGGAATTAAGGGTGACCTGGTCGACGACCGGGCCGCGGGGACACTAAGCCCCGGAAGCACCTCAAGGTAACCTCAAGGTAAGGACCTCAGAGGTCACGACCTCTCCGTAGGATGCAGTCGCACCTCCACAGATCTCCAGTATCAGCTAATGATACTGGTAATGGCTCAAAAGGGCCACCACTTACGGGCTATTCATGCCCGTGCCACCTTTTGGGTGGCTTAATCTTCATCAATCAATCACTGGTGACCTGGTCAGGGCACTCAGGAGGTCAAGAAGGATAAGAGGATTGGACCTAGGGGCCAGATTCACGAAGCAGTTTCGCAAGTACTTACGAACGTGTACATCTTTCTTCAATCGTTGACGGCTTTGGTTACATTTATTAAACAGTTTACAAGCATGAAAACTTGCCAATCAACTGTTGTTATTGTTATAAACAGCCTCCTGGTGCTTCGGAGCTCACTAACTGTTTAATTACTGTAAACAAAGCCGCCAAAGATTGGGAAAAGATGTACAGGTTCGTAAGTGCTTGCGTAACTGCTTCGTGAATCTGGCCCCAGGGTACCATGGACATTTCGTTCTGAGTAACCAAATCTAAAACAGCAACAGGAGAGCAGCGGCCAGTTACGGACCCGCTCCTGTGCCAGGCAAGTCCACTATGGACTTACCACTTTCTTAAGAAACTACCACTTTCCTAATTTGATTACGGGGTATTCATGCCCGTGCCACCTCTTGGGTGGCTTGATATTCATCAATCAATCTTACGAGGCGTCTGGCTTCAGGATATTTCAAAGCTACTGAGCTGATTTTGACGAGGCATTGATTGTAACTTGCTTAGCTTAGGATAAGTTTAGATTTAGGAAAGACTTGGGTAAATACTGGTTCAGTAACAGGGTTGTTGATTTGTGGAACCAATTGCCGCGTAACGTGGTGGAGGTGGGGTCCCTCGATTGTTTCAAGCGCGGGTTGGACAAGTATATGAGTGGGATTGGGTGGTTATAGATAGGAGCTGCCTCGTATGGGCCAATAGGCCTTCTGCAGTTACCTTTGTTCTTATGTTAGCTAAATGAATTGTGGGGTTCAGTCCCTGAACCCATTATGTGCCTCTGTAACCCTTTCCACTACCGCCCACATGATGGGTATGGGGTGCATAATAAATGAACTAAACTAACTAACATTCCCTAGCTGTTCCTCCTTAGTTTGTTAGTTGTTAGTTAATCTGTTTAGTTGATACCTGGTTGATGGGGTTCTGGGAGTTCTTCTACTCCCCAAGCCCGGCCCGAGGCCAGGCTTGACTTGTGAGAGTTTGGTCCACCAGGCTGTTGCTTGGAGCGGCCCGCAGGCCCACATATACCACGTTGATGGGGTTCTGGGAGTTGTTCTACTCCCCAAGCCCGGCCCGAGGCCAGGCTAGACTTGTGAGAGTTTGGTCCACCAGGCTGTTGCTTGGAGCGGCCCGCAGGCCCACATATACCTGGTTGATGGGGTTCTGGGAGTTCTTCTACTCCCCAAGCCCGGCCCGAGGCCAGGCTTGACTTGTGAGAGTTTGGTCCACCAGGCTGTTGCTTGGAGCGGCCCGCAGGCCCACATACCCACCACAGCCCGGTTGGTCCGGCACTCCTTGGAGGAATAAATCTAGTTTCCTCTTGAAAATGTCCACGGTTGTTCCGGCAATATTTCTTATGCTTGCTGGGAGGACGTTGAACAACCGCGGACCTCTGATGTTTATACAGTGTTTATATAATGTTAATTAGTGTTTATATTTAATTTGCCGAATTCTCCTCCTTTAGAATTTGGGATTGACTTCTTCTTGAGGTTATCTTGAGATGATTTCGGGGCTTTAGTGTCCCCGCGGCCCGGTCCTCGACCAAGCCTCCACCCCCATGAAGCAGCCCGTAGCAGCTGTCTAACTCCCAGGTACCTATTTACTGCTAGGTAACAAGGGCATCAGGGTGAAAGGAACATTTTGCCCATTTGTCTCCGCCTCCACCGGGGATCGAACCCGGAACCTCAGACTTGTCAATAGGGAAGATGATCAAGAACCCCCCCAAACAGACCTGATCAATCTGGTTGGGATTCATACGCCAGAATATGCTGTGGAATGTAACAACAGCCTGGTTGACCATTAACCAAGAGGCCTATTGAGACCAGGCCGCGACGTCACTGATCCTCGAAACCACCTCAAGGTGCAATCTTCCACCAGCAGAGCCGGTCGGCCGAGCGGACAGCACGCTGGACTTGTGATCCTGTGGTCCCGGGTTTGATCCCGGGCGCCGGCGAGAAAAAATGGGCAAAGTTTCTTTCACCCTATGCCCCTGTTACCTAGCAGTAAAATAGGTACCTGGGTGTTAGTCAGCTGTCACGGGCTGCTTCCTGGGGGTGGAGGCCTGGTCGAGGACCGGGCCGCGGGGACACTAAGGCCCCGAAATCATCTCAAGATAACCTCAAGATTGGTGAAGAGTGTTGGAGGAGGCGGGAGTGTTGGAGGAGGCGGGAGTGTTGGAGGAGGCGGGAGTGTTGGAGGAGTGGGGAGTGTTGGAGGAGGCGGGAGTGTTGGAGGAGGCGGGAGTGTTGGAGGAGGGGGGAGTGTTGGAGGCGGGAGAGTGTTGGAGGCGGGAGTGTGTTGGAGGCGGGAGAGTGTTGGAGGCGGGAGTGTTGGAGGAGGGAGAGTGTTGGAGGAGTGGGGAGTGTTGGAGGCGGCGCCAGAGGAGCGGGTACCCTGCCAGCCTGGCCACCTTAGACTATGCTAATGTCAGCTAGCCAAGCTGGCAAGCCACAAAGAAACTTGATTATGGACCGCAGCCAGAGGTGTTTGTGCTGTGCTCTGCTGCTGCTAGAGGTTATCTTGAGTTGATTTCGGGGCTTTAGTGTCCCCGCGGCCCGGTCCTCGACCAGGCCTCCACCCCCAGGAAGCAGCCCGTGACAGCTGACTAACACCCAGGTACCTATTTTACTGCTAGGTAACAGGGGCATTCAGGGTGAAAGAAACTTTGCCCATTTGTTTCTGCCTCGTGCGGGAATCGAACCCGCGCCTCAGAATTACGAGTCCTGCGCGCTATCCACCAGGCTACGAGGCCCCCTGTGAGGAGACCAACACCAATATTATAAAATATATGTCTTATAAATCATAGTGGATGACAGTGATGTCTTCCACTATGGCTCCTTCGGCTCGGCTTGGGCAATATAACAGCTGGAGAGGACGGGCTGATCACTGTGTCAATGTTCACCGCCTCCAGGTTGTACCAATATTTAGTGTTCATTATGTTCACTTTTAACATGTAAATGTTCAGTTTTTAAGTACATTATGTGTCTCTGAAGCCTGTTCCGCTAGCACCCACAGGATGGGTATGGGGGCCCCCACTGCCACCCACAGGATGGGTATGGGGTCCCCCCACTGCCACCCACAGGATGGGTATGGGGTCCCCCCACTGCCACCCACAGGATGGGTATGGGGGTCACCACTGCCACCCACAGGATGGGTATGGGGGTCACCACTGCCACCCACAGGATGGGTATGGGGGTCACCACTGCCACCCACAGGATGGGTATGGGGGTCACCCACTGCCACCCACAGGATGGGTATGGGGGTCACCCACTGCCACCCACAGGATGGGTATGGGGGTCACCCACTGCCACCCACAGGATGGGTATGGGGGTCACCACTGCCACCCACAGGATGGGTATGGGGGTCACCACTGCCACCCACAGGATGGGTATGGGGGTCACCACTGCCACCCACAGGATGGGTATGGGGGTCCCCACTGCCACCCACAGGATGGGTATGGGGGTCCCCACTGCCACCCACAGGATGGGTATGGGTCCCCCCACTGCCACCCACAGCATGGGTATGGGGGTCCCCACTGCCACCCACAGGATGGGTATGGGGGTCCCCCACAGGATGGGTATGGGGGTCCCCCACAGGATGGGTATGGGGGTCCCCACTGCCACCCACAGGATGGGTATGGGTCCCCC